GGGCGGTTTTTTCCCGCCTGGGAGAATTTACATCAGTGAATTCCATGATCCAGGTAGAATTGTCCCTCCATTCAAGAAAAGCCTTAAAAGGCACCAGGCCACTTGTGGAACAGTTTTCAGACATGGGACATGGCCAGCAGGTGAAGGAAAAGCTTTCTTTTGGCCACCTTGAAGCGTGGAGGGACTTTGAGGAAAGGCAGGTGCTCTCTATGGTTGTGAACTGTGAGGACAAAGACACTCTATCTGGGATTCCAGGGATTTTTCCCTGAGACGTTATAAGGCAATCCCAACTGTTGCCACAAAACCATGCAGAGACACTCATCTGACAGCCCTGAGCTTGGCTGTGCTGACTCTAGTCACAGACGACCCTACACTTTCCCCAGGGAAAAACCCATGATTAAGAGGCGTGGGAGGGTCCACTTGCAAGGTTGCTGTTGACGTCCATCTGGATAAAGCCCGTAGGGACCGTGATTTATTTCCGTGAACTGCGTCTCAGGGCTCTGCAGCCAGCGGTGGCCTGCAGAGAAGCACCATGTTACATACGCAAGAGCATGCTCAGCCCCTGAGCTATTCAGCCCCAGAGGGGTGTAGAAAGTTGAAAGCTCAGCAGAGGAAATAATATCACAAATTAAATGGTTTTGAATCATAGCAAAAGGAGTTTTTCTTGGAAACTGTTTTGTTTCTTTAAATCAAAAACAAAACCTCTCAGACTGCAGAAAAACACAACCCAGAGACGTAGGCAATTTGGGGAGCTCGTCACTCTTTTGCTCCCTCCCCTTTCGCTCCTTCCCCTTTCATTTTGAAGACTGATTTCTTTGACAACTGAACAGTCCCCCAGATAAGCCTATGGCTTTCTAAGGCCAAGAGATTGAGTTTTCTTCAGGATGATAGAAAGAGCAGAATAGAAAACATGATGAATGTATCCGGGCTCAATCCTGAAACAATTATTTAGTTCGTCTACTTTCCAGGCACTGTAGAGGTGAAGAGGAACAAGACTCAGCCCCTGTCTTCAAGGCAGAAGAAAAACCCATTCAATAAATAATTGTGGTGAGTTTTGATACATAGATATGTAGCAACCTAGCATGTGTAAAGCAGCTTTCTTAAGAAAAAATAAATTTTGTTGAGTGCCACTATGTGCCAAGAGCTCAATATTTCTCACTAAAACCCAATAAGGTAGAGGTACCCATTATTATTCTCTCCTCATAGATAGGAAAACTGAGGTACAAAGAGGCTAAGTAACATGGTCAAGGTCTCATAGCAAGTAAGAGGTGACTGCTATAACTAGAACCAGATCTGTCTGCTTCTATCACCAACAGACTTAACCATGGAGTTATACACACACTCGTTATTTTATTTAATACTCCCAACTGACCTGATAGGTAACAACAAATATACTTGTTTGACTAAATGAGGCAATGGACACAGACAGGTTAAGTAATAACTTGCCCAAGGTGTCACGGCCAGTAGCAGAGCCAGGACTTGCTCCAGGTTTGTTTCCAGCAGACTGTCTCTGGAGGACCGTCCTAGGCAGCTCGTCGGGACAGATTCATGCTATCTACCAGATATAGGAGCGGGGGTTTGCTATCAACTAGCATCCAGCATGGTGCCTGGTACCTACCAACTCTCTGTTAGTGTTTGTTACCTAAAATTTAATTCAACCTTCTACTTCATCATAGCGGAAGAAACTAAGATCGTGAGAAGTAAGTGACTTACTTGAATTTGCAGAGCTAGTAAGTGCAATTACTTAAAAACTGAAGTGTGAGAAGGAGTTTGCAAGAAGACAAGAGCCTGGTTATTAGAATCAAGGTGAGGTGGTATATTTGTATTCATTTAGATAGGCTAAGTTACACTGTGAGTATATATTTTTTTCTCTTTAGCATAACCAAATCTCAACTGCCTAAAGGTTTACCAAACAAAAGCTTATTTGTAGTTTATGCTTTAATCCTGTGGCTTGATGGAAAATTCAACTTATACTGGTCTCTCAGGACCCAGGCAGAAAAGGGCTCTATCATTGTATGATTCCATCATCTCAACACAAAGTTTTGGGGTTCACCACAGCAGAGAAGGAGAGCATGGAGAACTACACACAGGCTGAAATGCTTCCACCGGGACATGAGCCATATCACTTCCACTCACTTCTCATTGACCAAAGCAGCTAACATGGCTGCTTCTAACATTACGGAGGCCAGGCAGTGACTTCCTTAAATCCTCCCTTGTGCTTGGTGGGAGCAGAGACATTAATGACACATGATATTTGAGTGCTTAGGCTCTAGAGTTGGAGAGTTATATCTGCGAATTTCATCTGAGATGTTTATTGCTATGTGATCTTGACTATTTCTCATCTGTGGTTTCTTCTGTAAAATGGGTCAATAACAATAACATATCAAACACTTAGCCCAGTGTCTCACACGATGTCAGCCCTTAATACATGTTAGTATCACCATGAGGTCACAATCAGTTGGGAAGTACGACGGGTATATTTCTGTTTTAGAAAGGAAGAGGAGGTAGATACGAGGGCAACAAGACTGGCTACAGATACAGTAGTAAGGAAGCTATAGCAGTGTTCCAGGCAAGAGATGATGAAGGCCTGAACAGGGCAGTGGTTGCAGAAAGAGAGGGATCAGATCTAAGAAAATTAAGAGCTTAAATTCCCAGGACTTGATGATAGTGAATTTTTTTTTTTTTTAATGTTACTTAAGTTCTCTTCAGTACCTTGGAGGTTCACAGTTGGTGGCATGAGGAGGAGTGGGGCACCACGGTAAAGTCATAAAGGAGAAGAGACTCTCACAGGAGGTAGGAGGAGTGATGGCCTGGAAGCAGCAACGGGTGCCCAGTGCTACTGCTTCTCTACCCCACCTCAGCTTGAGGTAAATGAAGAATGGAAGAATGAGAAACCATAGAGAGAGTGGTAGGGGGATGCTATGGTAAATGTTTGTATCTCCTCAAAATTCACATGTTGAAACCTAATCCCCAATGTGCTGATATTAAAAGCTGAGGTAATTAGGAGGTGATTCAGTCATGAGGGTGGTGCCCTCATAAATGGGACTGCACCCTTAAAAAAGAGGCCTGAGGGTGCTTGTTTGCCCCTTTGTCATGTGAAAACACCAAGAGAAGGTGTCATCTATGAAGCAGAGAGCAAGCCCTCACCAGAAAGTGAATCTGCTGGCACCTTGATCTTGGATTTCCCAGGCTCCCAAACTGAGCAATAAATTTCTGTTGTTTATGAATTACCTAGTTTATGGTATTTTTGTTACAGCAGCCCAAACTGACTGAGGCAGGGGAGCAGTGTCCTCAAAAAGTGTTAGTTTCTGCTAAGGCCAGAGGGAGACAGTGCAATGGAATGAGATTTCCTGAGGAGGCAAAGGGTGAATACTTGCCAAGGGACTGACTGGGAACCAATCATCTTTTGGGCTCCAGATCTCTAGGGAAGGTTACAACTAGGAAGCATGAGGCTTGAGGTTTGAGGAAGGGCAATGCCCCGACCTCAGGGTCTTATCTAATTTCTCTGTGTGGTCCCAGGATCTAGCATAGAATACACAGTCGATGCTTGACTAATGTCTCTTAAGTTGGAAGGGAGGCCCCCTTTAAGAAGAAGGGAGAGGCTGCAAAGCCCCTTTCCTGGCCAGACCTGATATTGTTCTATCACTAACGTTGGACTGAAGACATTAGGCAGCAAGTGACAAACACCAACTGAAGCTGGATAATTTTGCAAGGCTATTCTTATAAATTACCCTGCAGACATAAAGTGTTGTCACTTTTGTCACTGTTTCGTCTTTGAGCAGGACAGGGAGTGCCTCTGAATTGAACATTCCTTGGCCAGCCTTTCCGAGGCAGAGACTGACAGAGCTTCTGAGGACAAGAACTTGGGTGTGAGCATGCGGAAGTCTCTGCCTATTACCGTGTTCCAGGACAGCCCTAGCTGGACCCCGCACACATGCTATGGACCAGGGGAGGAAAATGGACATTGGCTTGGCTGAGTATCAGCTGTGTGGGCAGTGCATAAATAGCTGGGCCTTTTTGCCCAGTCGTGGTACAGTTACTGCCCATCACTCTGCAGATCAAACATGGCCAGGAGTAGCTTTTGCTCCTCCTTTCATGATACTCAGTGCACTGCAGCACTTTCTTCTCTTGTTATCAGATAGCGTGTGCCCAAGAGAAAGGTGAACATACCTAGGAACATTACCAGCCACATACACAGACTCCTATGTTGCCATCCAAAACCAAATAAAGATGTTTTTGAACCAACTGTACCATAGATCCCTTCCCTCTATGCAGGTTATAAAGAATCAAGTTGCTCCCCTCATTCTATTTGCTCATTAAATAAATTATTGTGGTAAAATACATATGAGATAAAATTTACCATTTTAATCACTTGTTTAATCATTGTTAAGTGTACATTTTAGGGCATTAAGTGCATTCACATTAAGTAGTTTTACAATGTTATGCAATAGAATCAACTTGCTTTTGCGTTGAGTGCCAGCCACCCTTGTTTCTGTCTTTTTCATATTCCTGCAAATATATCTAGCAGTTCCCTCCATCTTCCCTGAGTACATAAACCTTGGAAAAGATGACACCATGAACATTGCTCTGAAATGCCATTTGCTGCTCTGTAGGAAGTGGGCATTATCAGATTTCTTATGCTCTCGACCCACTGGCATTTTGCCTGTGAGTTATATGACTCTACTCCTGGGCACTTGGTGTAGCGATTGGCCACAGTGTGAACCACACACCATTCAAGACCTACACCCCCTTTCCTCCATTTCTGTGAAAAGGCAACCATACTCAAATTTTCCATGATTATAGAAGCTAGGAAAAAGCAAAAATTAACAAAATAACACAATATTACCATTTCTATGGTTTTGACTTGCCTAACAAAATTATTGACCAATAAGCCTAAGTTGGTAGCACTGCTAAACTTTTCCCACGGTCCCTCTTCAGTAAGCTGTCTTCTGGGCCCATGCTTCCTGCTTGCCTAGCTTCCCGGAAGTCCAGCCTAGTGTTGGAATGAAGTAAAAAGAGGGAGAGGAGTGGTTAGCAAGACTCAGTCTGTCTGTCCTGCTATAACAAAATACCTTAACCCACGTGTCTAATAAGCAATAGAAATTTATTTCTCACAGTTCAGGAGGCTGAGAAGCCCAACATCAAGGTTCTGGCAAATTCAGTGTCTGGTGAGGGCCTGCTTCCTTCCAGATGGTGCCTTCTTGCGGTTCCCTCACAGGGTGGAAGGGGCAAGGCAGCTCTTTCTGGCTTTTTAAATAAGGGCACTAGTTCCACTCATGAGGGCTCTGTCCTTATTACCTGCTCATCTTCTAGAGGCCCTACCTCCTAATAGCATCACCTTGGGAGTTTAGATTTCAACATATACATTTTGAGGGGACACAAACATTCAGACCCTGTGCCACTTTCGGTGTTCCACCAGAAATAGATCTGCCAACTGGTGTCATTTTTCTATTGAAATAGGAAGCCTACATCTTAATGAAGGTTTTCGTATCTTTCTGTTGGGATAAAGACTCAGAGGGTCATTCTACAAAGAAACACCGTGTCAAAGTAGAATCTCCTTTGGAACACAGAGGTAGGGATAGGTTGGTGATGTGGAGGAAAGCTTAAATTATAGAATTTATTTAGCCATCTGTTCAATAAATCTTAACTGAGCACCTACTGTTGTGTCAAGTTCTGTATTGGGTGCTACAGGAACTAAAATTAATCAAATGATTCCTGCCCAGTAACTTATAGTCCAGGGGTATGACCTTGCCTACCCAGGTGCTGTGTCTTTAATGCACAGTGACCCCCCCACCCCCGCACTTCCATATCACACAGACAGCGCCTCATAAAAAGATGCTGCGAGCTACCCGTCTCCATTCACGGAGAAAGGCCTAGACCTTCTTGTTTCATTCACATATTGTTCCCAGCTTCCTATTATGTCTCTACATTAATTGGGACCTAATATCCTACTGATTTTTTCAGGCCCAGGTCTAATGTCAGATTCAACATCTTTATCTTGATACTCAAACATTCTCCCACGGTCACTGCTTAACACTCAAGTCCTGGATCTCTTCTCTCATCTCTTCCCTGGTCCCTCCTCTTTCTGACTTATCCTGACCCCTTGAACCTTCTCACCTTGATCAGCCTGGCTGATACCATCTACACACCCTGGCCCTTTCTCTAGGGGAGGGTTAGTCAGCTGCACAACAAATTCTCAAATCATAAATTAATTTTCTCCCAGCCACCCAGCTGAAGTTAAAACTGCAACAAGTACTTGTGTGCTCAGAGAATATCAATATCAGCCCATTTTAGCACTAGTCCAAGGAAAGTAAGCACAGAGAAGGAAGCAAGAAGTTATGTTTGTGTCTATAGCTTCCTGCAATATGTCTTCTTTGATGCTTTCTGAAGAAACATAGAAGCATTTTCTCTGCTTTATCTTTTCTGGGTTACCCATAATGCCACTCTATTCCCTAAGGGTAATAACCTTAAGTATAATTTCCTAAAATGTAACTGGTAGACACTCCTCTACCCCCATACCCCTTAGCACCTACTAATACTCCATAGAACTAGCATTCTGTAGAACACAATTAAGAAAAAACTGAGCTAATCCCAGCCATCTTTTTCAGAGATTCCGGATTCTAATTAAGGTTTAGATATTCTTCCAAACAAATCAAGGTAGCACTGTGGGTATACTGCCAAATGTAGATGAACCAACCAGTTATTGATGTCAAGTTCAGTTAAAATTCTCTTCAGGTCGTTATGATTGAACTTATCTTTTACATGGTTGCCTGAGCAGTCTTTCTAAAATGCAAACTGGAGCTTCACCATTTGCCTAGCCAATAAAATCTAAATTGTAGAAAACAGAGTTCATTGCCTATCATGAGTGAATCCTACCTGCTCTTCCAGTCTCATCTTCTCTGGACTCCTAAGGCCACCTCAGACTCTATCCACGCTATCTTTTTTCAGCTACTGACCACTCCACATTTTTCTTTGTCTCCAGGACTCTGCAAATGTTGTCTCCTCTACCTCAGACTTCCTCTTGCACTGGTAGTATGCTCCCACTCATCCTCCAAGTCTTAGCTCAAATACCCCTCCACGAAAGGCCTTCCTTTCCTCCATACACAGAATTAAGAGCTTTCTCTCACCTCGTGTTAAAATTTGTTTACCTTTGCATCTACTCATCACTTATTAATTGTGTCCTGTATAGTTTTCCCACTTGTTGGTGAGCCTTCTGAAGGCAAATACTCTGTTTTATTAATATTTTTAGCTCCAATATCTAGCACATAGACAGAACTTAATACATATTTGCTGAAAGAACGGGTGATTAGACGAATGAACAATAAAAGTAGAGGATGCTACTGCTTGGATACAGATGTGTAGCTGGTATTCAATAATCCTGGAATGGAGAAAAATAGGCTTCAGTTTGCTTGGTCACCAGTTGATATTTCTTACCTACAAGAAAAAGCATTGAACAAATAAAAAGTATTGCCGAATGATATTATTTTAAAGATATAAGTGAAACTATTCATAGAAAGATATTAGGAAGGCACCTAGTGTCTCTTCATGAAGGAATCTGTTTTTCTTCTATGTACCATCTTCTCTAGCACCCATTGTTTCTCCCTGTTTGACTTCTTCCTATGTTTTTAAGCATGTCCAAACATTCCCTGTTAAATAAGAAGAGCAAACAAACAATCTTCAATCATCCTTGATATACTATGGCTATGGTCTGTAATGGAATCACAGTTCTATCAAGGTCATGATATGCACCTAGTGTATTTTGATTGCCTTGAAGTATTTGACAGTGTATTTCATGAAATTCTGGCAGATAGAGTGGAAAAGGAATTATGTGACAGTTTAGGAATTTAGGAAAAAGATTAGGAATTATGTGACAGTTGGCCAGGCATGGTGGCTCATGCCTGTAATCTCAGCAACTTGGGAGGCCAAGGCAGGCTATCACTTGAGATCAGGAGTTCAAGACTAGCCTGGCCAATGTGGTGAAACCCCACATCTACTAAAAATACAAAAATTAGCCAGGCATGGTGGTGCACACCTGTAATCCCAGCTACTCAGGAGGCTAAGATAGGAAAATCTATTGAACCCGGAACGTGGAGGTTGCAGTGAGTTGAGATCATGCCACTGCACTCCAGCCTCAGTGACAGAGCAAGACTTTGTCTCAAAGAAAAAAAAAAAAGAATGATGTGACAGTCATCCTCAAAAGGCATGGGTCATGGTCACAGTTAATCTGGAGGCAGGTCTTGGTGACAAGCCAAGTAGTTCTCTTCTGTAGCCTTATCTTCCTGTGAGCTTCCTCTCTGCATTCTGTTCTAGCTATGCTGGCCTCTTTTCAGCTTCTGGTACTTGCTGGGCTCCCTTATGTACCAGGTTTTTTTTTTTTTTTTTTTTTTTTTTTTTGGCAGAAGGCCATTTCCTCTACTTGGAAATTCCTTCACTGCAGTCCCATCCTTAACTAGCTGACTGTGTTCATTTCTCATCTCACACATCACTTTCTCCTCCTCAATAAGGTCAGAGCCCCTTATCGTGGTGCTCAGGACCCTATGTGATTCTTTTGGCTACAACTTCACTTATTTGTGGGTTACTTTCCTCTTTCACTAGATTATAATTCCCATGCCTGATTTATCTCTCTAGTGTATTCCCAGCGCCTATGCAGCCCTGGACTTGGATGACCAAGTGAATGAGTAATAAATCTGAAGTCCAAGTTAAGCAAATACAAAGCCTGGAAGTGTGTGGGAGGCTGCCTGGGGTCCAAAGCTGACAGGAGCAAGCAAACAAGGTAAGGAAGTTCATGTTCAGGCAAAATGAGTTTGCAGTGACTTCCTTGGACCAAGGTCACATGCAATAGTATTTCATTTAGAAGCCCCAGGTTGGCCCAATCCTTCTTAAACTCACAATTATCTGATAGTTGAGAGGACTGATCAATATGTTGGAATACTGGATCTAAGATTCAGAAAGAATACAACATCAGTGATCACTTAAGTATTGAACATCTCTCATTAGTCCCATACTCTAACCTCTAGGGGGAGCTCAAGGATCCCCCCCCTCCTCTCACAGGATGCCCCAGATTGAAGTGGCAGAGTTCTTGGTGGGAAGGACAGGCAAATAGACATGGAGCTGGACTGAGCAAACACTCTTTTATTCACCCCCTGTTTTCGATTTGCTTTTTTCCTTTCATCTTTCTTCCCTGTTGAGTTTGCTATCATATATGCTGATTCAAGTAAGAGCATAAAAGTCCTACAAAGGTGCTCTACTCTGTGTTGCCAGGGTGGGAGATGTCATAGGGATTTGGGGTTAATGCTAGAATTAAGTGTAAAGATTGAGCTTCTGCCTGGTACATTCTTTGTGCCTTTATTCCTTAAGCTGTCATCATGATGGGAGGCAAGAGGTAGAAGATACAGCTACCACATGGATAAGCCAGGCAATGTGCTAGACTCGGGAATGCCATGATGAGCTAGACATAGTTCCTGCCCACAAAGACCTTAACTCTCACCATTTAGTCAGTCAGACTCCTGTGTTTAACCTAAGTAATTACTGGCAAAATGCAAGATAGAAGAGTCCTGGTTAAATAATACAGTAGTAAAAAATAAACACAATGCAACAAAACAAAAAACCAAGGGGCTGTAATTTACCATAAACTCAAAATGAAAACGTAGTGTGATGTGGCCACTGAAAACGTTTGTGTAATTTTAGGCTCCATTAATAGAAATATACTATGTGGATCAAAGGAGTTAATAGTCCCATTGTAATTAGTGTTTGGTCAGTCCACATCTAGAGTATCGTGTTTCCTTCTGGACACCACATTTTAAGAGGAACATGGAAAAATTAAAGTGTGTCCAGAGAAGGCTGGCCGTGATGGGAAGGGGCCTGGAAACTCTGTCATCCAGGGATAATCGAAGGACTCGGGAATGCTTAGCCTGGGAAATAAAAGACTTAGGTGGGGACATAATAGCTATTTTCAAAGATTTGTCACATAGAAAAGGGCATGGGCCAACTCCATGTATTGTTCCAGAAACAGCACTTTGGGTGAAAGGTGGAAATGTTGAGGAAAGATGTTTAGTTCAGCATGAGGAAAAACTCACTGTAGCATCCAGGCTGTCCAACAGTGAGCCAGATGGTCTCTTCTCTTAGCACTTTGCTTTCTGGTCTTTTCTACCTCTCCTCCTCAGGGTTGGAACTGATGATGCGTAGGTTACCTTTCCTTTCTCTAGTCCTTCTTGGTTTCCCTAATGGAATGAAGCCATAGAGTCCATTCCTGTGTGAGAGAAATGTAACATTGTCAACTAACAATATTCTGGGCACTTTACAGAGATGATATTAAACCCTGAGGCAAAGGATCATCTCCATTTCACAGATAAAGAAGCACAGCTTAGATAACTTGCTCTGGGTCACACAGTTATTAAGTAAGGGAGCTAGGATCTGAACTGAGGAATTCTGCTCTTGTACCTTATTCTCCTAACCTCTCTGCCATACTTGCCTCTCCCTCACTAAATAAAAAATTCATAGAAATCCAAAAAACAACAAACAGGTGAATTTGTAGTTTGGGCCAATATGGGCCAATGGATAGATGGAGCAGGATTTTTTATTTTTATTTTTTTACCCCCAGTCAATAAGGGGCAGATATAAACACATAGCTTGTGTGGGTGTGTTGAGGGCAATAGTGCTCACTGTGTTCTCCTCAGCCTGCCACTATTTGCCACCTGAACTCTGCAGTGTCTTCGTTAAAAGAAAATAGCACTGAGATTTACCTCATGCTCCAGATGGTCTGTATATGTCAATGGGTTCAGCCTGTCTTCCTCACCTTCTTTTTCTGACACTCTCCCCTCATTCCACTGGAATCTGGATATTCCATTTTAATTGTGTTTTTATTGCTTTACATAAGATAAAGCTTTTATAATGAAGAAAAATATTGAAAAGCCTCTTCCTCTTAAAAACGTCTGTGACTCACCAGATACACACAAACAACAACTGAATAAAGCCATGATTAAAGTCTATGTAGAAAAAATCTCTCAATGAATAGAGTTTTGCTTTTTGTTACCACGAGTCATCCAAACCCCTTGATGTATGTTGGGCCCTCTTGCTCATAGACCTCCGTCCTATCATCACTTTCCCCCGCCATGAATCTTATCCTGTGTGATTGCTCAATGGGAAGAAGTCTTGTCTGACAGGAGGCTGAGGGAAGGCTTCCTGGAACATGTGTAGAAAAATCAGGAAAATGACCCAAGTGAAAGGTAAGCACAGAAGAAGAAAATCAGCAGCAAACTGATGGCTTTCCCAGCTGGAATCCCTGCCTGTGCTGAATCCAGAGGCTGCTGGAAAAACTAAGCAAGACTGATTTAGGGGGAGTTTTGCCCAGATTTTGGTCTTCTGGCTCTTGCTCTGTGTAGAATCATGTTGTAAAATAAAAGTAAAAAAAAAATAAAAACAAAAACAAAAACTGAAAACTTCAAACAGTCTCTGAAACAACATATTTCCAGAGATAAATTTATATTTACCACCAGAGGCTGCATATCTGTGGCACCAGATACCTAAATGTAAACCAAAGAACTTCACTAGGTGATCTGAATACGTGATTTCTGGTATACACAGGCAACATTTACTTTGATTTTATTGCTTAGAGAAACTATTAATTAAGAGAACTTGCTGGCCATCTGTTCTGATAAACTTCTGGTACTTTGAATTCTTTGCAATATTTTTTTCTAGCTAAACTTCTCTTATGACAATCATAAGCCTCATTTTTATTGTGTTCATGATCTTTTGCCCAAAATAGTGATATTTTTATTTAATGGATAAAAGAGAGACTGTGATTACAGCAACAACTGTTATGGGCCGAGAAAGGAGCCAACTTAAGAAAGAAGGAATAGAACTGGTTGTTATTTTTAAAGGACATTCTTCAAATATGACAAACCGTAAATAAACTGTATATTGCCCTTTGAAGGTAAGAGCCTGAGGTGGAAACTCCACACATGGCCATCAGGAGGCCTGGTTTGGGGTTTTTAAATGTTTCAAATGACTCCTGACACGGTTTGACTACGGAATTCATCTACTTAAAGATGAAGGAAGACAAACTCTGAAACTGATGGGAGCTACTTGTTTTACACATTGAACTGTGACATTTTTCATTTTTACAACCATTGCTGATGTAAGTGTTATGTAAACTGTCCTGCGTGCAGTAAAAACAGCCCCTCTGGGAAGCCTTAGGACAGTCCCAGATGTCTGACACCGAGGAGGAGGACTCTATCTTTTGCTATCAAGAAGAAGAAGAAACTGAGGATAAGAGAAGAGAGGATGCTTGCTCAGATTTATTTCAACAAGGAAAAACTCTGCCTCAGGTCTCCACTGCGGTGCTTTGCTTGCCACCATGTCTTTTTTCTACGAATGGGACCAAGGCTGGTGCTGTGTGGCAGGTGTCTTGCTCTTTCTGCCTCTCTGTCAAATATACCTTCAAGGCCTGACACACACCCTCTCCTTCCTACCCGTGTCTCCACCTCCAGCTTCCTTTTGGGATAGGTTCCTACCTTCTTAGGACTTGATTGTCATCCACACCACGTTTTCCCCAGTATGATGTTAGTCAGATGGGCCTCTTTCTGACTTCTCTTTACCAAAGGCAGAGGTTGGATTCCCATTGGTGGAGCTCAAGCCAGGACTGCTCTGTCCAAGGCCAGTTGGCCTGAGAACCAAAGAAATGAGCCTTGTCAGAGTTCCTAAGCAAGAACAGGTCGAGACCACTGGGGAGCCATGTGTGGTGTAGGACCTCGCTGTTCAAAGTGCGGTCCCCAGAGCAGCACTGTGTATGTCACCTGGGGGTTTGTTAGACATGCAGGATCTTAGTCCCCCATCTATCACCTACTGAATCAGACCTGATTCACATGAACCTGAAAGTTTGAGAAACACTTCCATAGAGAACTCAAGGCAGGATTAGGGTTAGGGGTGCACGGCCAGCTGAGAGTTTGGAACACAGTAGGTTTGAGACAGGAGTGGGAGTAAGTCATCAATAAGTAGGTGGAGGCCAAGGTATGTGTGGGGGTGGGCCGGGTGATTGCTGCCTACACCAGAGGGAGTTGGGGGCTACCTGTATATGCTGTGGATATGTAGTCTATGGGTATATCCAGACTGAAAGTTGAAAGTAACACCCAATCCTCTATTCAGTCTCCAACTGGGATGTAAGGGCCCGGAGGACAGGGGCCCCATCTTACTCCTCTGTCTACTCTGGGCTTAGCATGGCACCTTGCACATCACAGATGTGCAGTGTCTGCTGAACTGAATAAGGTCCCTTTGGCCTTACCTGTCCATCACACAGCTTGGGGTGATTATAGTGGAGTCACCATTGATTCTATACTTCCCGCAGGAGTCTCCTGGTGACATAATGACATTTTGATATTTTCTTCAGGAAAAAAGCATACTGCTGGATTAGATGGGGTCCAGCATCACAACCCTTGAGAGTCCAAGCAATACTCTAAAAGACCCAGGCTTCTCCCTCGGTGACAACTCATCAATGTGCCATTTCTGCAAAACGGAAAATGGACCTGCTGTTTCTTGCTGTTATTTTCTGGAAAGTCAGTGCCCAGATGCCAAGCCCAGAACCTTGCTGTGCACTCAGGAAACCATTATTGCCAGACTCTGCAGACCCTCAGGAATGAGCTCTGCTTGCAACAGCCTTCTCCTGGCAAGAGTTAATACTAAGGTGCAACTGAAGGAATGTGAAGACTGGAAAGCCAGCTTGGGGGATTGCTATTGCAATCAGAAGACGGCCCAAGTCAGAGTTCCAAAGCCCTTTGAAGGTATGCCAGCTAAGACACATGTTTCCAATTATCATATGCAATCTCGAGACAGTGTGCAAGTTGCACTTTCATTATGTCAAAGTGAAAGGAACGGTGGGGGCGAGATAAAGGGGGAGAGGCTGCTAAGCTGGAGACTGCACTTAGCTGTGGAACCAAACGTTAGCCAAGGCGCCTGGCTGGCCTCTCCAACCCAAGTCTCCCCCTGGAGCCAGGGGTGCACGGTACCTACTCTGAGAGCCTTTTTTTTCTTCTTGCTTTGGGGATCGAGGGAACCCAGCTGATATGGCTGGAGGAGGCCCCATCTTCAGGAAGATATCTGACCAGCTCTTTGGTGTTTGGTCTTAACAGAGACAAGATTTTGTGAAAACCATATGGGGACTTTAACTGTGTTTTCCTACAGGATTTCACAGGATTATTCTCTGAATTTTCCTAAGGTCTGGAATTGCAGGAGAAGCTAACTCCTCTGCCAGTTGTAGCTCAGAATGAAGTGAGAGAATAGACAGAGACTCTCACTTCTATTAGCGATCTCTCTCCCACTGAGGCTGGGCAGCCTCTTGGTTGGATTTTACCCTGTTCTTAATTCTGGAGTAAGTCTCAGCATAGGACAATAATTTCACTCAACTTATTTTCCATGCGCAGTTTGAAGTTGTTTCCTCCAGGAAGTCTTTCCTGGCTTACTCTTTCCATTGCGCTACTTCTTATTACAGTAGTCATCATTTAGAATGCTTATTGGATGGATTTGTATGTTACACTGTGTTTTTAAGTCAGTGTGTGGGTGCATGTGAGTGTAGAACGAGCACTTCCTGGCTGCTTCTCAGCTTCCAGGGATTATTCACACATACACACACACATATATGCATACACACTATCCTTGTGTGTGTATGTTTGTATATTGTGTCTATATCTGTGCATATATGTGTATATAGCTGTGTGTACTGTGTATTTACATATGTTTCAATATACAGTGATTTATTATGTACCAACATTGAATCAAATGCCTTACAATACAATGAAGAAAGTTCTCTTATTATCACCTACATTTTACATAAAAGAAAACTGCAGTGCAGAGAGAGAAGTAATTTGTCCAGTGTCACTCAGCCAAGCCATGGGTAAGGCCAAGCTTGATCCCTGATGGTCTGTTCTTGCTCTTGACACCAGCCTCTGAAAACTACCCAGATGCCTCACATGCCTCAGGGAGGACCCTGTTTTCAACTGAGACCATTAACGCATGTATGGCTGACACAAGGTAGGTGCAGAGGATAGGAGCAGACAGGGTGGGGATGCTGGGGATAGAGAAAAAGATGGAAGCTAGGTTCTGTCTTCCCTTCCTTAAGACATTGATTGCCTGCCACATGCAAGATTGGGTCTAGGTGCTGAAGAAACACAGATGTGCTGCATCCTTGACTTTAAGGAGCAGTCCTGGGTTGGAGGCATTCTCTGCAGGCTGCTGTGGTAGAGGGAAGATTTGCACAACTTACTCTTGGCCCTGGGCCCCCTGAGCCATCTTCACACACCCAGGTGAACTTTGGGAAGGTCAGAGCTTTTCAGTTGCAAACCCAAGTGAATTAGAGCAAAACAGATCCCACGTGCTTGACACGTGGAAACTTTCAAAGCCAATGGTTTATAAACTTGCCAAGGGCTGGGGGAGTAAACACATCCCAGAGAACAGTGGAGCACTTCTCTGGCATTGATACACATAAGCAGAAAGCACAGCCTTCCCCGCCGCTTGCCTTAAGATAGTCTTCAGTCTTAGAACCCAGAGGCTTGCTCAGAGCTAATCCACATAAAGTGTTTAGTGTGGTGCCTGGCACATACCAAGCTCTTAATAATTGCTAAGGTCACTATTAGCATTGCTTGTCACAGAATAAACCTAGGATACATCTATAAAACTGTCCATAAGCTTCCTTGCCTTGTGGAAAGTTGTTTCACTCTATTCTAACATCCTTTTAGGGGTTCTCAGCTAATCTACTTTTCAAAACAAAAAATTATTATACACTTCTTAAGTGCTAGCTAGTTTTGTATATTTATATATATTATTTCATTAAATTATCTCTCAGCCCTCTGAGAAAAGCACTATTATCATCCATATTTCACAGGTGAAGAAATCATCAGAGTTTCCATATGTCAATTGTCAGAGATGTTAAGCAACTTGCTTAAGGTTACACAGCCTTAGCAGAAATACTTGTTTGACTCCAAAGTCTACCACTATGCTGGAATCACTAGAATCCAGGTGGCCTACCTGAACTCGGATTCAGGCATCTGAAGCTGAATAGCTGCTGTTCTTGCTTTTACCCTCCTGGTAAAAGCAGGCTATGCCTCTATCTATCGATCTATCTATCTATCTATCTATCTATCTATCTATCTATCTATCTATCTAT